AAAAAAAGCTGATAACTAGGACCTGGGAGGGGAAGAATAATAGTAAAAAGGACAAAAGTAATAATAATAATAGCAGTTTTAAAACAGAAAGAAACAAACTAAAAAACAGAAAAAAGAAAGAAAAAAAAAAAAACAGGACAGGGTACCCAGCCTCTGTCTGAGCACACAGACTAGAATGGAATTCTTGCCAGCTCAGAAGGTGGGTGGGAGTGAGGGATGGCCGCACCTCCATTCAACAAGCAGGTGTGGGATATAAGAGTAACAAGGGGGATGTCACACCTTTCTAGTCGCCCAGGTCCAGAATGTCCTTGGGGTTCACAGCAAGTGGAGTCTGTTCTTAAGTCCCTGGAATCTGGGAGAATGCTGTCGGTTTAAATATCCAAAATGGTCAAGCTGCTTGTAAACATTGAAAATGACTGTGCCCTCTGGACAGACAAAAGTCCACAGCTCAGCCCTTCTTCCTCTTTGCTGCTTCTCCTTTTATTCCCCAGCCAACAGAGCAGTCCTCCATGCAGTCCCTGGCTAGCAGGGCTGATTTTTAGGTTAATTCTTAGGTCCTACTGCCACTTGACAATATCCAAGCTGTCTGTGCTGTCATGATTGCTACCAGATGGCAGCTCTGTATGTCTCCTTTTTTGGTGTTTTCATGCAAATTCTTCTGCTAGTTGGAGTTTAGTCCACTTCTATATCCTTCCCTTCAAAGCTCAGGGCTTCAGGGCTTCTGTATCTGTGTTAGTTGGTTCCCCTTTTCTTTGTTGAGGAGGGTCTGTGCAGTCTTTCTGCCTAGTCCACCATCATACCAGAACTCTAATTCTTTTTTAAAGTACAAATAATACTTCTAGTCTGCTGTGAAGCTAGCCTTATGAATGAGTCAGGTGCAGGGTGTCATCAAAAGAAAGCCAAAAGCAGGTAATATTAGTTTTGCTTATTGCCGAAGTCGGTGAATCATCAACACACAGCAGCCATTTCATTATCAAAATTTCACTGCCTTCTGTCAATTCAAAGACACCCCAGATCCTGAGAAACTCCTAGGACCAACTTATAGAACAAAACATGTTGTACAAAGTGAACAG